CAACGAGGTCGGCCGCAACAGCAGAGGCGACAGAGGGCAAAAGGGGGGAAGGGGAACACCCCTCAAAGATGGGGGTGCGAGGGTCACCACGAGAGGCTCCTACAGCGACTATGCTCTTCTCCGCTGCTAGGAGAGCCTTCTCTAGGAGGTCAACAGTAAGAGTGGTGGGACAGACTGAGAGGAAGTGGTCCCTGACTACACGAAGAGAGTCAGGGAGGCGGGTGACTATGTAATAGAGAGTGATGTACATGGGGGGGGGGGGTTCTTGGCGCAGAACTCAGCAGGAAGCGCGGCGCGGTAGCGAGTGTCACTAGTGCGGAGGTGCGTAATGAGGTCAGCGACTGTGGGAAAGGCAGCAAGGTCAGGGAAGAGGTACGGTAGCATGAGGCGGCTCAGTGCAGCAGTGGCAGGGGAAGAGTAGCGCGCAACTACAGCGCCGTACAAGGTCTGAGCACTCTTTTACTGACTAAAGTGCGCGCGCTCAGTGGTAGGCAGGTGGCGACGCACAGTAAGACGTGCAGCAGCATCGCGCGTGACCCACAGGGAGCGAACAGTGGCGTCAGCGTCAGCAGCAGGGGCAGGAGAGGCGCCAGAGGTCAAGTCAAAGAGGGAGAGACCGTCTGCCCTATCGCACTATAGGAAAAGCTGCAGGTCATCTACCCAGACCTCAAAGTCAATGGCCCGACCCTCAGCGTCAAAAGAAAGAACACTGGGGGTAGCCTTGACAGTAGTAGACTAGCAGTACCAACTGTAGGACAGGGGCAGTGCAGTGACAAAAGCGCTGCTCTCACAAGAGAGGGCGGTTCGGGCAGCTCAGCAGCACAGCAACACGGCAACATTGCGGCTCGGGCGACTCGGACGGCTCAGCAGCAATTGCGGCTCGGCTCCTTAGCAGCTCAGGCGGCTCGGGCGGCTCGGGTGGGTTGGGCGGCTCGGGCGGCTCGGGCGACTCTGGCGGCTCGGGCGGCTCGGGCGGCTCAGGCGGGTCGGGCGGCTCGGGCGGCTCGGGCGGCTTGGGCAGGTCGGGCGGCTCGGGCAGCTCGGGCGGTTCGGGCGGCTCGAGCGGAACGGGCGGCTCGTGGTGTAGGGCGGTAGGGCCGCTAGGTAGGTGGCGGGGCCGCAGTGAGAGGGGCGGCGGGGCCGCAGTGAAGGGCGGCGGGGCCGCAGTGAAGGGCGGCGGGGCCGCAGTGAAGGGCGGCGGGGCCGGAAGGTAGGCGGCGGGGCCGCAGTGAGAGGGGCGGCGGGGCCGTAACGAGAGGGGCGGCGGGGCTGCAGCGAAGGGCGGGGTGGCCGTAAGGGAGTCGGCAGGGCCGCAGCGAGAGAGGCGGCGGGGCCGCAGCGAAGGGCGGCGGGGCCGCAGAGAAGAGCGGCGGGGCCGCAGTGAAGGGTGGCGGCACCGCCGTGAAGGGCGGCGGGGCCGCAGCGAAGGGCGGCGGGGCCCCAGTGAGAGGCGGCGGGGCCGCAGCGAAGATCGGCGGGGCCGCAGCGAAGGGCGGCGGGGCCGCAGTGAGAGGCGGCGGGGCCGCAGCGAAGACTGGCGGGGCCGCAGCGAAGGGCGGCGGGGCCGCAGCAAAGGGCGGCGGGGCCGCAGCGAAGGGCGGCAGGGCCGGGACAGGGCGGTGCTGAGGCCGTAGGGCTAGGGCGACGGGGATGTAGGGCTAGGCGACGGGGCCGCTAGGGAGATGGGGCCGCTAGGGCGATGGGGCCGCTAGGGCGTTGGGGCTGCTAGGGCGGCTCGACGAAGTGAGAGAGAGGAGCGCGACTCGGGCGGAGCGCGCTCCGGGCAGGAAAAAAAAGTTCGATGTGGTGGGCCCTAGGCACAGTTCCCAGGAGGGAACCTGCTCGATACCATGAGAAAGTTAGAACGAGAATGAAATGACTAAGTGAAAGTTGGGTACAAATACAAACCCTAGAAAGCTGTACCCCATATGTGCTACCCCACTATAGCCTACAATAGCTATGTCATATATATCTGACAAACACGATAAGCAATAGCAAGTAGACTATTGCCAACTAAGGCGCTTACGATCCTAAGAAAAAGGTGGTGGCACAGGATCCTAATTGGGACTTTTTCGATAGCGGCGACACAAGCAGTGACACCGGCGCTTTAGGAGATGACGCCAGCGACGGCTTGAGCAGCAATGAAAGCAGCATTGAGAGCAGCCTCATCACTGACATCAACAGCAGCAACAGCGGCAGTAGTAACAGCAGCAACAGCAGTAGTAACAGTAGCAACAGCGGTGGCACAAGCACTGACATCGGCACTTCAGGAGGAGACTCCAGCGACGGATTGAGCAGCAGTGCCAGCAGCATTGGGAGCAGCCTCAGCACTGACAGCAACAGCAGCAACAGCGGCAGCAACAGCAGCAACAACGGCAATAACAGCACTAACAGTGATAGCAGTAGCAATTGTGACAGCAGCAGCAGCAACGACAGCAACAGTAGCAACGACAGCAGCAGCAGCAGCAGCAGCAGCAGCAGCAGCAACGTTGGGTGTGAGAGGGAGTGTTATGACCCTACTGAGGGCACGTATTGCCGGGGTGCGAATGAGCCTTGCTTGCAGGAGGAATGGATGTGTGGACAGAACCAAAACACCTATGTAAGCCCCAATCTCCGTTTTGAGCCGACTCAAAAATACTGCCGGGGTGTGAACGAGCCCTGTCTGCAGGAGGAATGGATGTGCGGGCTGAAGATACCTATGTAAGCCGTAACCTCTGCTCTGCGTGACATTCCTAGTAGCGACCCTCATCCTCCTGCTTCGGCAAGTTCCCTCTCTCCCACTGATATCTCCCACTGTTTTTCTCAATCCTCTGCTCTCTAGCTCTCACTGCTCTCTCCGCTCACGCCCTCTTTTCTGATACCGTCTCCCCTTCCACTCTCTCCTCTCCCACTCTCTTTTGATCTCTCCTCTACACCCTTTCCACTCCCACCCGCTCCTCTTCCAATCTCTCCTCCCGACGGTCGCGCATCCCCTCACTCCCAAGCCCACGTCATGCACATGACTTTCTTCGCTTCCCACTTCTTGCCTCTCCAGGCTGTGTGTGTGGCGGACCTCTGGTCGTGCAATATCATCCATGGCTATTTATGAGGCGCCTCAAAAAACGAGCCCACTTCATGCACATAACTCTCCTCGCGTCCCGCTCCAGGCTGATTGTGCGGATCTTTGGTCCTGCAACATCACTTATGGCTTGAGCTACTGCTGCGTGGATCGCGATAGCGACCCAGACGAGCACTGTGGGCCAGGCTGTGGGAACTCTTTTTGAGGCGCCTAAAAAAACAAGCCCACATCAACACATGATTCTCCTCGGCTCCCGCTTCTTTCCCCTCCATGCTGTGTGTGATGACCTCTGGTCCTGCAACATCACCTGGGGCTCGGGCTTTTGCTGCGTGGGTCCCCATAGCGACCCAGACGAGGTCTGCAACCCAGACTGCCAATACCCGGGCCACGTTCGTTGCACCGAAACCAACAAGTGTGTGCCAGCATGCAATGGCGTGTCCGAATGCCCACTACTGAAGCACCCTGTAACGAACAAGACCCTGCCTTATGGCGAGGATGAGGACCCGGATGTCTGCAAGAAGACTAAACCATGGTTACATAAGTGTCAGAGGCAGCAGAAAGTGATTGTTCCGGGGTTTGAAGAGGAGGGGGGCGTGTGGGTCGATGTGTATATTTATGCCTCACAGGTTTGCGATGGCAACCACGATTTTCCTTTAGGGGACAATGAAGGGGCCACCACTGCTGCTGCTGCTGCTGGTGCGGCTGCTGATGCTTTGGCCAATTCCAGCATGGAAGCTCTGGATTTAAGCGACGACGAAGATCCGGCAATGTGCTTGGCTCACAGTTGCTCAGATGTATTCTTGAAGTGTGTTGGAGGCACCCTGTGCATTCATCATTCTAAGAGGTGCAACGGCAATAACGAATGCCCGCTAACCGGAGCAGCGGATGAGGCAAGTCAGGGGATGCATGGTGCAACTGAAGGCTCAGATACTCGTCAGGGGATGCATGGTGCAACTGAAGGCTCAGATGTTGTTTCGCAAGGGGTGGCTATAGGTGGCGGTTCACCTGTGGTTACAGGACCTGCCCTACCGCCTTACACAGCCGATGAGGACCCTTCTTTCTGCCACTCATTTGTCTTTGATCCGTCAAAATGGCCAGCCACCACGCAGTGCCCTTCTACTGGTCTGTGCCTGCCATTGGAACAGTGGTGCGATGGAGTCAACGACTGCATTGATTATGCCAATTTTAGTGGTAGAAGCGGCAGTGCTACTAATAACGGAGCTGCTTATGCTGATGATCAGGATCCCGAGGTGTGCCGGACGTTTGAGTGCCAATTGGACTACAAGAGTTGTCCCAACGGCGTTCAGTGCTTGGATAGGTTCCGCTTCTACGACGGTGTTATCGACTGCCACGTCAGCACGGACCCCGCATCAGCACACGTCTCTGCCACGTCAGCTGGTGGGAATGGTAGCAGCGGCGGTGGCAGCAGCAGCGGCGGCAGCAGCAGCAGTGAATGGTTGCATGACGAAGACTTTGGATTCTGTGAGAGCTGGAGCGAGAATTGTCGTGACATGTATTACCTGCGTCTGTGTGACAACGTTCCTTACTATGTCAACAGGAGCATGAGTGAAGACCTGGTGAAGAGCCAATGCACAGGTAAGGAAAGGTCCAGCTTTGGATGAGTAGGGCTTGCTACAATGTTTAAAAGGTGACGCGACAAAGTAATTTACTTGCTCTTGTCTGTTGATATTTGCGCTGCTCTCAACTCTGGACGAGCAGACATGTATGACCTTTGAGGCGACTTACCCCCCCCCCCTCCATGTGCTCCTGTCCCCTGGTGTTTTCTGTGCTCCCAGCTCTGAATGAATGGGCGAAGATTCAGAAAGACGCTGCTGCTGCTGCCGAAGCTGTTGCTGCAAAGAAAGCTGGAAATTTGACTTCATCAGCTACCAACAATGGTACTGCGAGCGGTAACTCCACCTCAGAAAGTGGTAACCCTGTTATGCCATCAAACAGCACGTCAACCTCACGCCCAGGATCATCCCGTCGGAGCCGGAAAGGGTCGGAAAATAGAGGAGATGCTGGTGGGGCTGACAGTGGTAACAAGTCAGAGCAGGGAGGGGGGAAGGGAGCTGAGAAGGGAGGGGAGAATGGGGGGGAGAAGGGAGGGGAGAAGGGAGGGGAGAAGGGAGGGGAGATGGGAGGGGAGAAGACAGGGGGAAGTGCAAGTGGAGAGAAGCAAGGGGGGGAAGCGAGTGGGGTTAAGAGTGAGACAGAGAAAGAGAAGAAGGCAAGAGAGTGGGAGGAGCGAAAGCAGCTTGCAAAGGGCAAAGTGAGGGAAAAGGAGGATCCTGCAGAGAAAAGAAAGCGGGAGGAAGAGGAGAGAAAGGCAAGGGAAGCTGAGGAGAGGGCGAAAAGAGAGGAAGCTGAGAAGGCGAGGAAAGAGGCAGAGAAGGGTAAGGGAAAGGACAGGGGGAAGGGCAAAGGGGGAAGCAGAAAATCACCCAAGCTACCGCCTGGGAGGAATACAGGGGTAAGAAAGTCACGAAAAAACCTTCGATAGTACGGGTATAGCTTGATTGGCATTTCTGCGTGTTCCTTACGTTGAAGTATAGTGGTACGGGTATTTTGTTTCTGTGTCTGTACAATGTTTATGTCTAAAATGTTAGCTCTGTACATCTTGTAAACTGCTCCAGCACATTCAGGTTCGTGGCCGAGACTAAATAAATTGAATAGTGGCACATCAGCTTTTTTGTAGGCATATTCGTACGCATGTTCCTACGCTTGTTCGTACACATAGCCTTTGTACACATTCAGTTTCCCAACCTGCACCTATCCTAAATTTATGGAATTTCCTCTTTGTCAGCCTCCTATTTTATTGATAGCCCTTCACTTATTCACAGCTTCGTTATTAGTTAAATATGTGCATTCTTCCTTGCAACTCATAACCAAAACATGCATATATAACTCGTCAGCAACGTAACACTCGAGCATTCGTATCCTTTCGCACGAATGACATATCTGCGTTGACTTCCGCGACCTCATCACGGCTGCTGAAGCTGAAGTCTCTGTTTCCCCTGAAATTGACCTGCGATTGTTGCGCTCAGGTAGGCATATTCGTACGCATGTTAGAGACCGCAGCGGAGCGCAGTGTTTGCCTGAGCGCAGACCCCAAATATACGCAGACCCTTTCCAGGGCAAACACTGCGCTCCGCTGCGGTCGTTGGGGGTCATAGGGCGTCATCCATCACCACCGCCAGTTTGACAGCAAGGCAGGGCAATGTCTACCGTGATGCGGCTCCGCACATTTCGCGCGCAAGCTGTTTCTTCTCCAACTCCCTCTTCCTCCCCTCACACACAGCCATTTGTGTGCATCGCGGTTTCCAAATCGTTTTAATACTACTGTACTACTGCGATCTCTCGTGTTTTTTTGTGATGGCTCTCAATCACCCCTTTGTCGCAGTAATCTCAAGCAAGCCCGCATATACTCGTTTATCCTATCGCTCGATCTCATTCTATAAAATATGTTACAGATCTAGTTGTTTTTCCAGCCTTCACTGAGTGGCTGCGGTACGTGTTGCGAGCAACAATCTGTGACAGACGCGAAACCCTAAAACCGAGACTTTACCTTCCGAATCCCTAACAGACCCGAAACGTTCACCACGAATCGGAAGGTCTCAACGAGGCCATCCAATTCAGAGGAACAAATACGCAAAGCTCTGACGGATCGTGTCCGTCGGTTCGTACTGCTGTTAGTAATGGCACAGCGACAGTTGCCGTTCAGGTCGTTAGCTGCGGTTTCGTGGCTGCTTCTCGCGCTACCGCTGGCGTCTTTGCTGTCTACATCAATGGCGTCCATACCGGCCGAAGAGGTAATGCGCCTCCCTCCCTCCGGCCATCTACATCATTACCGTGTTCTGTTTTTAGTGTGAGATACCGCAATACAGTAGCTCTAGTTTTCTAACTCACCTGTCACAAGTATAGAGTACGGTAGCTCTAGCTATGGCACTTCCGCGTCTCCCGTCGCGGTTCCCATCCTCCCGTTCAAGTTAACTCTCCTATCCAGCGCTTAAAATCACCTTTCAGGCGAGGCTTCCCCCTCGGCGCCTTTCTCCGCCGCCTCCAGTTCCCGCATCATATAACATCCCCACGGTGCATCTCGTGTACAGCCCCACCGATTGAACCTCTCTTCGGCTACTATCACTTCCCAAGCCTCTGTCGGTCTCAACCCATTCGCTCTCTTCCCCCACTCTCACCTCTTCCTTCCTGGCCTCGTAACCCTACCTTGCCCCCACTCATGCCTCTCCCCCAACCTCAATAGGTGGCAGCACAGGATCCTGGATGGGACTCGTTCAACAGCGGCGACACAAGCAGTGACACCAGCGCTTCAGGGAATTACGTCAGCGCTTCAGGAAATGATGTCAGCGCTTCAGAAAATGACGTCAGCGCTTCAGGAAATGACACCAGCGCTTCAGGCGATGAGACCAGCAACGGCTTGAGCAGCAATGAAAGCAACAGTGAGAGCGGCCTCGGCAGTAACAGCAGTAGCAACAGTGACAGCAGCAGCATCAATGGAGACAGTACTGCTGGCAGCAGCAGCGACAGCAGCAGCAGCAACGAGAGTAACGGCAGTAACGGTGACAGCAGCAGCAACAGTGACAGTAACAGCAACAACAGTGATAGCACCAGCAGCAGCAACGTTAGTAACAGCAGCAACAGTGACAGCAGCAGCAGAACCGACAGTGAGAGCGACAGCAGCAATGATTATGGGTGCGGGCCTGGAGAGAGGGTGTGTTACGACAACGGTGCACCCAATGGCATGTACTGCCGGGGTGAGAACGAGCCGTGCATGCAGGAGGAATGGATGTGTGCGCAGAATCATAACACCTATGTAAGCCACAATCTATGGCCTTAGATGTTGCTAGCATGACATTCCTGGCCACCCTCATTCTTCTGCTTCACCTCTTCCCTTCTCTCCTGCTAAAGCTCTGCCACTGTGTTTCTCACTCTCAGCCACTCAGTCCTCTCCTCTCTCTCCATCTCTCCCACTCACCTCTCCACTCACATCCTCTCCCCTGATTCCATCTCCCCTTCAAATCTCTCCTCTCCCACTCTATCCTCTCCAAATCTCTCCTCTACACACTCTCCACTTGTACTCGCTCCTCTTCCAATCGCTCCTCCCCACTGTCACGCCGCCCTTTCTCTCCCAAGCCCACATCAGCACATAACTCTCCCCGCTTCCCACTTCTTGCCTCTCCAGGGAGTGTGCTCGGACCTTTGGACATGCAACATCACCTATGGCTCGGGCTACTGCTGCGTGGATCCCCAAAGCGAACCAGACGAGCACTGCGGGCCAGGCTGTGGGAAATCTTTTCTTAGGCGCCTCAGAAATAGTTCATAACTCGCCTCGCTTTCCCTTTCTTGCCTCTCCAGGCTGTGTGTGATGACCTCTGGTCATGCAACATCACCTATGGCTCGGGCTACTGCTGCGTGGATCGCTATAGTGACCCAGACGAAATCTGTGGGCCTGGCTGTCAATACTCGGACCAGGTTCGCTGCACCGAAACCAACAAGTGTGTGCAGACATGCAACGGCATGTCCGAATGCCCACTAATGAAGCACCCTGTAACGAACCAGATCCTGCCTTATGGCGAGGACGAGAATCCTGAGGTGTGCAAGACGAAGGAGAACGGGTACTTCAAGTGCCAGCGGCAGCAGAAAGTGGTTGTTCCGGGGTTTGAAGAGGAGGGGGGCGTGTGGGTCGATGTTTATATTGACGCCTCGGAGGTTTGTGATGGAAAGAACGATTGTCCCTTAGAGGGTGATGATGTAGGGGCCACCACTGGAGCTACTACCACTGCTGCTGCTGTGGCCAATACAAGCATGGAAGCATTGGCTTTTAGTGACGACGAGGATCCAGCGATGTGCAAGAGTCACAATTGCTCATATGGATACTGGAAGTGCCCTGGAAGCACCCTGTGCATTCGGGAAAGACAGAGGTGCGACGGCAAGAACGACTGCCCGGTCACCGCCAGTGCAATTGATGATGCAGCTCAGGGGATGCATGGTGCAGCTGAAGGCTCAAATGCTGCTTCGGAAGGGGTGGCTACAGGTGGTTGTTCCTCCGTCAGCACTAGTTCACTCGGTTCGCCTGCCCTACTGCCTTACACAGCAGACGAGGATCCTTCCCTTTGCCGCGCATTTGATTGTAATACGGAATGGACAAACACCAAGAAGTGCCCTTCTACTGGCACGTGCCTGCCACTAGAGAAGTGGTGCGACGGGGTCAACGACTGCATTGATTACAGCAACTACAGTAATACGAGCGCCAGTGCTTCTAACAGAGCTGCTTATACTGATGACGAGGATCCCGAGGTGTGCAGAACGTTTCGGTGCCACTGGGATTACGAGAAGTGTCCCAACGGTGTTCAGTGCGTGCATAAGTCACGCTTCTGCAACGGTGTCATTGACTGCCACGTCAGCACGGACCCCGCATCAGCAAACGTCTCTGCCACGTCAGCTAGTGGGAATGGTAGCAGCAGCAATAGCGGCGGCGGCAGCAGCAGCAGCAGCAGCAGCAGCAGGCAATGGTTGCATGAGGAAGAGTACGGATTCTGCAAGGGCTGGAGCGAGATTTGTCGTTACTGGTCCTACCTGCGTCTGTGTGACAGCAGCCCATACTGTGTCAACAGGAGCATGAGTGAAGACCTGGTGAAGAGCCAGTGCACAGGTGAGGAGAGGTTACCTTTGAGGATTCCAAAAGTAACTCCAACTGTGAAGATTTTCTAAAGAGCCAGTGCACAGGTGAGAAAAGACTGCTTCCAGCTCTGGATGAGTTGGCATGTATGACCTTGAGGTGACTCAACATGTGTCGCTACTTACTCTTGTCCCCTGGTATTTGCGCTGCTCTCAGCTCTGGATGAGCAGGCAAGTATGACCTTTGAGGCTTACGGTAAACCCCCCTCAACCCCCCATTTGCTCTTGTCCCCTGGTGTTTGCCGTGCCCCCAGCTCTAAACGAATGGGCAAAGATTCAGAAAGACGCTGCTGCTGCTGCTGCAGCGGCGGCGGCTGCTGCTGAGGCTGCAGCTGCTGCGGATGCAAAGAAAGCTGAGAATTCCACTGCAGCAGCTACTGGCACTGTGCCTGCGAGCGGTAACTCCACCTCAGAGAGCGGTAACCCTGTTATGCCATCGAACACCACGCTAGTCTCACGCCCAGGCTCATCTCGCAGGAGTGGGAAATGGTCGGATAAGAGAGGAGAAGCTGGAGGAGCTGATAGTGGTAGCAAGGCAGAGCAGGGAGAGGGGAAGGTTGAGAAAGAAGGGGAGAAGGGAGGGGAGAAGGGAGGAGAGAAGGGAGGCGAGAAGGGAGGGGAGAAAACAGGGGAGGGTGCAAGGGGAGAGAAGCAAAGGGGAGAGGCGAGTGGGGTGAAGAGGGAGACAGAGAAAGAGAAGAAGGCAAGAGAGTGGGAGGAGCGAAAGCAGCTTGCAAAGGGCAAAGCGAGGGAAAAGGAGGAGGCTGCAGAGAAAAGAAAGAGGGAGGAAGAGGAGAGAAAGGCGAGGGAGGCAGAGGAGAAAGTGAAAAGGGAGGAAGCTGCGAGGGCAAGGAGAGAGGCAGAGAAGGGTAAGGGAAAGGACAAGGGGAAGAGCAAAGGGGGAAGCAGAAAATCACCCAAGCCACCGCCCGGGAAGAAAGCCGGGGTAAGAAAGGCCAGGAAAAGCCTTCAGTGAGCTGAAAAGGTGTAATTCAATGAACCTTCAGCTTGTACCTACAATAAGATTCTGTTAGGTAGCAGGTACATGTACGGTATGTGCTACCAGTATGTATTCTTGTCGTGTATCGAGCGTGTGTAATCATTGGGAGTTCGAAAAGCTCCTTCACACTTTGCCAACCAGCCAACCAACGATAAAATATACCCTCTTAGCAACACTCGTTCTGACTGAAACAGCATTACATTCGTTGGTGGGCAGTGGGCACAGCAAGAGCAGCCTCATGGCAGAAAAGAAGCTCCAGATCATATGAGACTCAACCAGCCAATGGTGGCGACCACTTGATCCCACGCTTGGCACAGTCCTTTCCAACAGTGCTGAAAAACATAGCTGGATGTGCAAGCGTGTACGACTTTTTTGCCTTGGTCGCGGGCTTCGCTATCCAAGTGCCAACGTCCTTGGTATTGCACGTGGTGAACGAACTCGCGTTGCCAGGGATAGTGACGCTGTGCTTGCGCCCAAAGAGGCCACTGTCCCACTTGAAGACTGTCGGCCAGAAAGGGAGGAACCACACATGCGATGAAGAACGAAAGGGGGGATAAAGGAAGGGGTCAGGACACCAGTGACCAGTGCATGGAACTTGAATCTGATGAACCAAGCTGTGGTTGCCAATGGTGATGATCGACGATCGATCGCCATGAATTTGATCGAGCAAATTGTAAAACGGTGTCAAACGGTGAGAAACAGTGACAAGAGGCAGTCAAAGCAGGGAGAGGGGGGGGGGGGGGGGGGGGGGAAGAGGTACGGCCAGTCAGATGCAAGAGATCGACTACATGCAATGTGGGTGATAGACTCCTTCTTGCGCGAATAGCACAACCCTGATTTGATTCGAACACGAACCTAGAATCTCGCCGCCTTCAATGGTCGGACCTGTCCAATCCTTGACACCCGGCCAGCCCTTCTTGCCGCCCATCACTATCGTAGTGGCATGCTGCATGAATCGAGCAACACTGAGAAAACATGGTGAGACAGACGTCGTGCGGTGCGGGGACGGGGTGGCAGTGGCAGTGACGGTCGTGATGCAGCGAATTCTCACATTGAACGCGCGGCAGGTCTTCATAGTATTCGCGGCCATACTAAGAAGACCCGATGGCCGCGAGAGAAACGAAGGGCGAGCAGGGGGAGGGGAAGGAAGGGGGGACTCTCCTTCTCGGAGAGGGAGGAAGGGGGGGGGGGGGGGGGGGGGAGGGGGAAGGGGGAGGGGAGGGGGAGGGGTTGCACAGCGCACTTACCGCGACTGCAGGGCCGGTTGCGCCCAGAAGGTCCAAGTCGTTGAACGAGCAGCCTGCGCATCATCACCCAGGGTGAACGGTTCTTAGCACGGATCGTCACCCAGGGTGCGGCGGCGGTACCGGTGACGATCCGTGTGCATCATCAACCAGGGTGAACGGATCTTAGCACGGATCGTCAGCAGTGCCGCCGCCGCATTCGGCGCGACAGCGGGGCGTGACAGGACGGTACTAACAGAACACAGCCGCATGATAGCACAAGCAGGTGGAGCACGCAACGGGGAAAAACAGCGTTTGGAAAGCACCCTGTGTCTTGTCCTAAGCCGAAGGCTGTTCACGAGCTTCGAGCTCGAAGGACTGAACTGCGCAGCAGCAAGACCAGGCGAAGTGCACACAGTCGAAGTACTGAGTTAGAAGGCGTACCTGCCAACAGCAGCAGCAGCACCAGGCACAGTCGACTCATGATTTCTGCAGGAATTCTAGGAAGAAAATGTCCGCGAATGGCTGGTGTAGGAAAAACTGGAATGCTCTTAGCGTGCTGAATGACCCAGCATTTATCGTACGTTGCTGGTGCGTCTTGCTGGTAGTAGGAAGGCAGTTGGCGAGACACACTCGGACGGAACCCGAGTAAATCAGGGATTCAGGTCGTCGTGAGCAGGGGAGCTCGACGCCGCAGCGCAGCGGCCGTCATGATAGAGTTGGTCCCTAGTCGAGTCGTTAACGACGGTGGGTCGGTGTTTGGATCGAACGGTCTACGACCAGAACGAGCGGATTTAGCCACGATATGCGATGCTCGACGATGCGCCTTGAGGAGCACTAGCAGCGGCTAGCATTGGCACGACTTGCAAGGACGACGCCGTAAAACAGAAATCGTCACGGTCACCTGATCCCACGCGTCGAGGTGACTTTTGAGTCGACTCAAAAGCCACCTAGCCGTTGGTGGATACGACGAGTCCTGGTAAGTTGGACTTTGTACTTTTCTCAGTGGCGAGCTGGCGATTTACAAACTTTGACTTCGCTGGCGCGCCATCAACGGTGAGGCGTGATGGACGCCTGATGCAGAAAATTCTGTGACTCTAGCGCACCTCACATCGGCGTGACACCTGTTCTGCTTCGGAAGGGAAAAGTCGTGAGTCGAGCCAGGCGCAGAAAGCCATTTCTCGATCTGGTCTGGGGCCGAGTCGCTAGGCGGTGATTGGTGTTCAGATCGCACGGTCTACGACCAGAACGAGAAGATTAGACTAAAGTGGCGGTTGAGATACGTGCTCTACGAGTCGACTTGGGTAGCACCACCGCGGTTGCAAGGACAACGCGGCCATGGAGATAAATCATCAAAAGCCCCCTCTTGCTGGTCTATCTGTAATTGTGAGTCATCTGACTTCTTTTCTTCAGCATGAACCTCCAACTTTGACTCTTTTCGCGAAGAATCAACCCTTTCTGCAAGAAATTATGGGGTTACTTTCCTTGTAGAAGCTCTTTAGCGAGTATTTTCCGAACCACTTCCTAGACGCCTCCACAACCTCCAGAGCCTCGTTCATGCCGAAGTCCTCGCCACTCTAGACTTTTATCCTCGTTATTCTATCATTCAGTAGGCCTTCTAGTAGTATTCTGCAGTTTTCCACTTGAATTTCAGTTACATGTGAACCTCAGTTTCATATCGCTTTCCTAAACCAGTATCTTCCACCCGCACATGATTGATTTTGGAGATGGAGGAATAACTTAAGGTTCAGAATACAATCTTTTCTGCTCGTCGTGCCAAAATCGCCCTCGACACCTGTTCGAGTATGAAGAGAATTATACTTAACATTCCTGTAGGTGCAGCCGTATCGCATCGCACCCCCCACTATCGAATCAACGCTAGCAGCAGTATCGGATCAGCCCGTATCAAAGGCAGGAAGGTCGACAGTCGCAAAGTCAACTGTCGCGACTGTTCACCATCTGGACCGACGGTTGACTTACAATCGAGGAATGGCAACATGCGTAACCGTACGTACCAGTTACATGCAGCGACTCGGTAACAAGAAAGAAGTGCAATAGTCAGAGTCATTGTAGAAATGCCTGTATAGCAGTTAGAAAAAGGAAATGTACCCCTCAAAGTACATGACTAGCTAGAACTACTTATTATGTGTGTAATCTTTGATTTAATCAACTTTGTCATTTACATTCACTATGATCAGAGTTCCCACCACAAGAATTCCGCTACCAAAACTCTTCTAAAGCATTCCTTTCCTATCCAAGGTCCTTCACTCGAACATGGTATGAGAGCTAGTTTGGATTATAAGAACTGTTATAAGGGGCTTCAAAAGCAAGCTTCTTTCATACCTTTTACAACAAGGACAACATTATGCCAGGCACAGATTGCAGAGAGGCTGGAGAATATCCAGTACAACCTTCTACCAATGTCGCTTCTACCACAACAACCGTTGATACAGCGTTCCTCGAGCAGCTGATCTCCCGCATCAGCGCCCTGGAAAGCCATCAGCCGATCAGCATTGACGGCTCCAGCTACGCTCGAAGACCTCCTTCCGACTACCGCGGAGCCCAAGGATCTGCACAAGCACAGCAGACACATTATGAAGCAATGGCGTCAATGCAGAGCAAGTTCCTATCAACATCGAAGCCCAGGACAACAAAACCCTTTGACGGTCAAGACTTTTACACATGGAGCTTCGAATTCGGGCTACTAGCTCAAGGCGCTCAGATCTGGATGTATTACGATGGGTCGTACGCATTTCCGACTAACGGCTCACCTCAGTACAACAACGAATCGCTCAGGCCTTCACCGTCTTGATCCGAAATCTGTCGCTCGAAGAACAGTTAAGCATTCGCCTCTTCAAAAACGAGTGGGCACCCGCACAACAGTCTTGGGAACACCTGCGCATCTGTCACATGGCAACGGACTCGGTGACGCTCAGTCGCCTGCTCAACCAACTGAACAATGTCAAGATGTTCCCCTGCGAAAAGGCCGGACCATACATCAACCGCTGCAGGAACCTGAGAGATTAGTTCAGGAAAAGCGGCGGCAACTTCCCTGACGACATGTTTATCTCCATCATTCTCGCTGGATTGAGCCCCGAATGACGCCAGTGCAAGACGCTCTTTCGTACTCAAGGGACCCTCAGTGAAACTGCCTTTTGTTCTACGCTTCTTTCCGAACAAAAGGATATCGACCTGTAAAACGAAAGAGGCAACAAGAATGAGAAGATTGCCTTCTACGCACAAGCGCTACCGGACAAGAAAAGACTCTTCTGCAAGTACTGCAAGAAGACTGGGCATATAATTTAGGACTGCTGGAAGCTAAACGGCAACAACAACAACAACCAGAAGGGTGCCGCTACCCACCAGCAAGGAGGAGCTCCAGCGCGCAACCAAATAGTGTCACCACCAGCCGACGTACGACGAGCTGATAGTCGGACGGATGCAGTACGACTGGGAAGCTCCGCAGTGGATCCAGGAATCTCCACCTGCACGCATCGCGTACGACGAAGAAGGATGTTACTACGACTACGAAAGGGAACACGACATGGAACATCATACCACACCGAAGCTCGTAAATCTCGCCACGGCAAAGAAGGAGGTTAGCAAATGGTACCTGGACAGTTGTTGCGGCCAACACATGGTGTCATCAAACGTCTTCATCCTCAACAGCGAAGCATTTTTCAACGAGGTGGAGATCACCGTCGCCAACAGCCAGACCATTTACGCGAGAAGCTGCGGTCAAATCCAACTGGAGTCACACGACACTGGTTACTGCATCCACATCAGCGACCAACTGATGAAGTGCAGAGTCGGCCTGCAAAAAACCAAAAACGAGCTTCACGTGATATACAATGGTTGAGTTGTACCTTGGAGAAGCGAACCGCGTGAGGACTTGTTCGACCATATGCGAATGCGTCAGTGTAATGGTGCGAGCTGCCCTGTCCCCTGTGATCTGCAGGCCAAGGTAGCGCTGTAGTTCACCAAGGTAAGTGCAAGTGTGTCTCCTTTGTAGTTCCTTCTTCACAAAGGCTATTACGCATTGGTCGGGAGTGGCGAAGACCAGGTCGTCAACGTAAACCAAAACAAAGTGCTGCAACTGTCGTGCAAAGTGTGTCGTGCCACTCACGGGGAGCGTGACGCAAAGCGTAGACCAGTCGACGCAGTTGTAACTGGGTCCCAGGAGGGAAAGAGCCAGTGAAGCCACGCGGGCAGCGCAGCCAGATCTGCTAGTGCAGGCTCCCCTGAAGGAAAGTTGTGAAGAAGTCCAAGGAGCGTAGCTTGCAGTCACGCTGAGCTGTGATATGCAGCAAAACCCGAAGAGTGGTCATCTATAGGGTGTGAGCGAAGGTTCGGAAGAAGTCTACTCCCTCGCGCTGAGTGAAGCCTCTCGCCACACAGCGCGCCTTGAACACACGTGGTGATTTAGGTGGCCGCTTCACCTTGTTTAGCCACATGCCACTAACGACGTTCGTCCCAGGTGGTGGGACGGCATCGACGTAGGTGCCTGTGGACCTATAACCTGCCATCGCTGCCTCCTCAGCGGCTGTTTAGTACGAAGCCCAGGGTCCCGAAACCGCCTCGGCGTGAGTGCGTGGGATCGGGATGTCAAGGGCGTTTGGATCACCCTCCAGGGCAAGCAGCATGGCGTAGAGATGCAGAACAGCGGCTGCCAGGAAACCAAGCTCAAATTGCCTGTCCCCGAGGACCTCCAGGGGGAAGACAATAACACCCCCAGAGGATGGAGAACAAGAAGTGCCACTCACTAGATGAGCGGCATAGTCAAGGTGGTGGGAAGAGGCAAAGGCACTAACAGTAGTGATAAGGGCCGAGACAGGCAGCGGAGGGGCGGTCGGGTGAGTGACCAACGCAGACAGAACACGGGAGACGAAAGGCACGGAGGTAGTCAGACAAAGGGTTGTGAAACACTGTGATGGAAAACTCAAGAGGTTGTCCGGGGGAGGTGGAACACGAGAGCGGAGAACAAGGTGAAACGACATGACTGTACGGTAACGAGACCGACGGGGCTCTGGAGACGTAGCACGATTGAGGGGAGAACGACGAGTCCATGGGGACAAAG